TCCATGTGACTTTTCTATAAATATTTCCATCGTCAATTGATGGGCTTTCATTATTGGTATCTTGACTTTATGAATTTAAGCTTAGTACTAGATTGCCACCTAGATCTCATCATTTTACTTTTGAAATTGTTAAGTGTAAACGTAAGTTGTAGGCTAAAGGTTACTTCTCTCGCAATTCTCGCTTGAGGAATTTTCTTCCTTCTTCCTGCTTTCTAGTCAAAGACAATCTACAAATGCGACATCAATCGCCATCTTCTGTCTCTAATCCAGTTCTTGTTATTGTCCATAATTTTCAGTAACGTTTTTCTCCGTTTCCTTTACTCCCAGTAAAGTTTTGCTTTATCGCCTTTGTTGGGATTTTGAAGATTGAAAGATGTTTTTTGCTTTTCATTATTTTGGGTTCCAGCATGAAAATACCTTTTCAATAATTGATATCTGTCCTCTTTTACGGCAGCGAATGTTGGACGATCTCCTCAAAGATGAAGAAGAGACTCGAGGAAACGAATGCATGCTTCTACAGAAGGATGCTCAGGATATCATGGTCCGAGCGTGTTAGCAACGATGAGTTTTTGAAGAGAATGCAAACAAGGAGGAAGTTTATATTTAACATCAGGAAGAGGTAGATGATAAAACCCTGGAAATGAAAATATATGACGGGAAAGAGACAGGCGTGAATTTATTTAGGCGGGAACTTTAAAATTGATTCCAAGAAAAGATTTTGAAGATTGAAAGATGATTTTTGTTTTTCATTATTTTTCGTTTCAGCATGAAAATACCTTTTCAATAATGGATATCAGTCCTCCTTTCGAATGTTGGAGCATGAAGAAAGACTCGCGTCAACGGGGGGTTTTCTACAGAAGGATACTAAGGATATGAAGTTTTTGAAGAGTATGGATTTTGTTTTAACATCAGGAAGAGGTAGACGATAAAACACAGGAAATGAAAATATATGACGGGAAAGAAACAGGCGTGAATTTATTTAGGCGGGGAACTTTAAAATTGATTCCAAGAAAAGATTTTGAAGATTGAAAGATGATTTTTGTTTTTCATTATTTTTCGTTTCAGCATGAAAATACCTTTTCAATAATGGATATCAGTCCTCCTTTACGGCAGCGAATGTTGGACGGTCTCCTCAAATATGAAGAAGAGACTCGCGTCAACGGGGGTATGGTTCTACAGAAGGATGCTAAGGATATCATGGACCGAGCTTGTGAGCAACGATGAGTTTTTGAAGAGTATGCAAACAAGGAGGAAGTTTATACTTAACATCAGGAAGAGGTAGACGATAAAACACAGGAAATGAAAATATATGACGGGAAAGAGACAGGCGTGGATTTATTTAACTTTAAAATTGATTCAAGAAAAGATTTTGAAGATTGTATGTTCCAGCATGAAAATACCTTTTCAATAATGGATAAGCGAATGTTGGACGGTCTCCTCAGGTCAACGGGGGGGGTATGGTTCTACAGAAGGATGCTAAGGATATCATGGACCGAGCTTGTGAGCAACGATGAGTTTTTGAAGAGTATGCAAACAAGGAGGAAGTTTATACTTAACATCAGGAAGAGGTAGACGATAAAACACAGGAAATGAAAATATATGACGGGAAAGAGACAGGCGTGAATTTATTTAGGCGGGAACTTTAAAATTGATTCCAAGAAAAGATTTTGAAGATTGAAAGATGATTTTTGTTTTTCATTATTTTTGATTCCAGCATGAAAATACCTTTTCAATAATGGATAATGGAAAACAAATTACAAAATCTCCTTCAGAAGGTTGCGAAGGAGAGCGAGAAGAATGGACTAAGCATAAACTATAAGAAGACAGAATGCATGGTCATCAGAAAAAAGGATGAGCCCGAAATGCGATTTACAGTTCGGGGACACTAAAATCAAGCGGAAATTTGAATATCTAGAAAGTGTTATGACTGAGGTCGGTAAGTGTGACGTTGAGATCCGAAGACGGATTTGGATGGCCAAAGACGCATTCCAAAAGCTATGCAGTGTAATACGAGACAGGAGGATTTCTTTGTTTTCAAAGAAAAGAGTACTGTGTTCTTACGTGACATCTGTCCTCTTTTACGGCGGCGAATGTCAGACAGTCTCTTTAAAGATAAAGAAGAGGCTAGTGGCAACGAAGGTATAGTTATACAGAAGGATGCTCAGGAGATCATGGACTGAGCGTGTGAGCAACAATGAGGTTTTGCAGAGAATGCAGACAAGGATGAAGCTTATATTTAACATCAGGAAGAGGTAGATGATAAAACCCTGAAAATGAAAATATATGACGGGAAAGAGACAGGCGTGAATTTATTTAGGCAAGAACTTTAAAGTCGATTCCAAGAAAAGATTTTGAAGATTGAAAGATCATTTTTGTCTTTCATTATTTTTGGTTCCAGCATGAAAATACCTTTTCAATAATGGATATCTGTCCTCTTTTACGGCAGCCAATGTTGGACGGTCTCCTCAAAGATGAAGAATAGACTCGAGAAAACGGAGGTATGCTTCTACAGAAGGATGCTTAGGATATCATGGACCGTGCGTGTGAGCAACATTGAGGTTTTAGAGAGGATGCTAACAAGGAGGAAGCTTATACATAAAATCAGGAAGAGGCAGCTGAAAATTCTGGGACACGTAATGAGAAAGGAGGGCCTAGAGAATCTGATACTCGAATAGAAGGTAAGAGACATAAGAGAAAGCAATCCATGAAATACTTAGCGGGCTTAAGCAAGTGGATGACAGAACATGGCGTGTGGGAAGTAGCAAAGAGACAAAACTTATTTGAGCGCTACAAGGGATAGGGGGAAGAGGAGAGCCATGATCGCCTACGTCATGATAAAGAAAAAAGAAAAATAATTCTACGTTAGAATTGATCGGTGAGCCAGTGTGTTATGAAATTTTGTCTTTTGAAATGGTCTTAGAGTAACACATGTCCAAAGTTCTCATCCATTTGCATATCAACGATTGTAACAATACAGCGACCGCCTACCCTCGACTCAAACGATTGTGTCGCGTAAAACAATTAGACGAGTGTATTCGAAGGTCGGAAATTACTAAAAAATTTGCTTCGAATAAATGAATGAAAGATTTTGAAATGTTAAAAAAGAACATATATGGATGAACAAATTAATTTATTGAATAAAATTTCTATGGGATAGAAACAAAAGATAAAAATATTCCAACAATAAATTATTTTTTTTTATAATTTTAATTTCGTTTCAGCAAGGTTTTGAAAATTAAATCCAAAAAAAAAAATTGGATACGAGGTACAAGAAATCCATGTAAAATAAATAAATAAAAATAAAAAGCGAGTAAAAAGAATTTAAAACAAAATAAAGCAAAGTATAAAAAAGTAAAAAAAAAAAAAATCGATCATGTTAATAATAAATGAAAAAGAAAAAAAAAAGACGTGTTGTTTAATCGATGGTAATCCGATTTTACCATTTTTGTATTCATTTTGCGAAAATCCCCCCCGGCGTTGGCATTTACACACCAACTCCATCCACTTCGGATGGTGTTTAAGCTGACCGCATACCCGTACTAAATTTCGACCTTGACAGGCGGGTAGAGTGCCCTAGGGTCCTGTGAAGTTTGCGTGGCTGAAGAGAAGGCGTTTCAAAGAATGTTTGAGGCATGCAAATGATATGCAAATGATATGCAAATATAAATGCAAATCATCCTCCGTGCAAGGAGGATTATTTTTTTGTTTCCCCGGGCAGTTATAATTAGAAAGTGTTGGTTGAAATGATTGATGAAGGAAAAAAGGCAGGAAGAAAGAAAACCTTGAAAAGAAGAGGAAAAAACAAATAAGAAATAAAAAGGAAGAAATTTGAAAGAGAAAATAAGGGTGATAAAATAATGAAAGCGGGGAAAGCAAAGACGTATAAGAAGAAAGAAAGAAAGAAAGAAAGAAAGAAAGAAAGAAAGAAAGAAAGAAAGAAAGAAAAAAAAAAGAAATAAAGAAAGAAAGAAGAAAGAAAGAAAGAGCAAAGAAAGATAAAGAGAAATAATGAAAGAAAGAGAGAGAGAGAAAGAAAGAAAAGATAAAGAAAGAAAGAAAGGAAAAAGAAAGAAAGGACAAAAATGACAAAGAAAGACAAAAGAAAAAAGAAGGAAGCAAGAAAGAAGGAAAGAGAGGAATAAAGAAAGAAAGAAAGGACAAAGAAAGAAAAAGAAAAAACAAAGAAAGAAGAAAAGAAAGAAAGAAAGAAAGAAAAGAGAAAGAAAGAAGAAAGAAAGAAGGACAAAGAAAGAATGGATAAAAAGAAAGAAAGAAAGAAAGAAATAGCAAAAAAAGATACAAAGAAGGAAAGAAAAAAGAAATAGAGAGAGAAAGAAAGAAAGAAGGAAATAAAGAAAGAAAGAAAGAAAGAAAGAAAAGAAAGAAAGAAGGACAAAGAAAGAAAGGATAATAAGAAAGAAAGAAAGAAATATCAAAGAAAGATACAAAGAAAGAAAAAAAGAAAAAGAGAAAGAAAGAAAGGCAAAGAAAGAAAGGCAAAGAAAGAAAGAAGAAAGGAAGAGAGAACGAAAGAGGAGAAGAAAGAAAGAAAGAAAGAAAAGACAAAGAAAGAAAAAGAAAGAACAAAGAAAGAAGAAAAGAAAAAAAGAAAGAAAAAAGAAAGAAAGAAGGACAAAGAAACAATGGATAAAAAGAAAGAAAGAAAGAAAGAGCAAAGAAAGATACAAAGAAAGAAAGAAAGAAAGAAAGAAAGAAAGAAAGAAAGAAAGAGAGAAAGAAAGAAAAAGCAAAGAAAGAAAGAAAGAAAGAAAGAAAGAACGAAAGAAAGGAAAAAAGAAAGAAAGGACAAAGAAAGAAGAAAAAGACAAAGAAAAAAGAAAGAAAGAGAGAACGATAGAGAGAAAGAAAGAATGAAAGAAAGAAAGAAAGAAAGAAAAAAACAAAGAAAGAAAAAGAAAGAAAAAAGAAAGAAGAAAAGAAAGAAAGTCCAAAGAAAGAGAAGGCGAAAAAGAAAGAAAGAATGAAAGGAAGGGCAAGTGTTAGTAAAGCATTAAAGAAAGAAGAAAAATAACAACTAACGAAAAAGAGCAAAAAAAGAAAGAAAGTTTAGAATAAAGAAAGAAAGAAAGAAAGAAAATAAATGAAAGAAAGCGCAAATGAATGAATGATAAAGAAAGAAGAAAAAGTGAACAAAGAACAAAGTCACAAAAGAAAGAAAGAAAGAAAGAAAGAAAGAAAGAAAGAAAGAAAAGACAGACAGGAACGCAAAGGTCGATTTCAAATGTAGAGGGATGAAAGAAAGAAAGAAAGAAAGAAAGAAAGAAAGAAAGAAAGAAAGAAAGAAAGAAAGAAAATAAAAATAAAGAAGAAAGAAAGATAAAAAAAGATAGAAAGAAAGGGCAAAAAAGAAAGAAGGGACAAAAAGGAAAAAGAAAAAGAAATAAAGAAATAAAGAAAGAAACAAAGAAAGAAAGAAACAAAGAAACAAAGAAGGAAAGAAAACAAAGATAACAAAGAAAGACAAAGAAAGAAAGGACAAAAAAGAACGAAAGAAAAAAGAAATATAGAAGAAAAAAGAAAGAAAGAAGGAAAAAAGAAAGAAAGTAAGAAATGACAAAGAAAGAAAGAAAAAAAGACAAATAAAGAAAGAAAGAAAGACAGAAAGAAAAAAGAAAGAAGGTCAAAAAATGACAAAGATAGAACGAAAGAAAGGACAACGAAAAAAGAAAGAAAGAAAAAAGAGGAAGAAAGAAAAATAATGGACAAAGAAAGAAAGAATCTGGCAATAAAATAAAACCCTTGCTAGAAAATTTATTTCCAGTATGTACTTTTTAGGCACACTATTTTCATTCAAATTTCGAGATTAATTTCCAAATAGTCAATAAAAAAAAACAGCAAATCGTTAAACAAAGAAGATTCTCATTTCTGCAGTGACCAATTTAATAATATGCTTTTCCGTGGATAGTTCTGCAATTATGGATGCCTAGAGGTACAATTTTGGATCTTCGCTGTTTGCTCTGTGAAATGAAAGCAGCAAATTAATAAGAATCAAAAGTCGACGATAATTACTTCAGAAAAGTAACAGTAATTGCTACCATAATAATAAAGCCGATTGCGATGATATTGTGCGCGATATTAATTGTATCTCTACTACAAATACTACATGTGATTTGAGGTCATACTTCGTTTTACATTAATAGCTGCCTTGCGTGCTAATACACTCTAGGGTAACGATAAGGAAACATGAAATGTCTACAAGTAGATTGGTTGAAAGCTAAAGGATCTTCAATGAAGAGAAGAGCGGTCATTTCAGTAATAAAAGCAAGGAACATTTAATAACAAGAATTTATAATAGGGAAATTAGTCATTAGTCGTACGCTAACAGCTTGTGTACTTAAAGAGCTCATAGTGGATATGACGATAAACTACATCAGGCTTCTGAGCCGGAAATTGGAGGTTTTGAGGAGCGTGGAACCATCTTTTAATGTCTGTTTTTCTCAGGTCACCCGTGACCAGAGGTGGGTAGCCCCTGCTAACGTGCAATCTATGGGCAAATAGTGAACGTCCAAACAAAAAATCAACCGTACATTTTTATAATGAAATCACCAACAATACATTTTTGTTGCAAAATGACCTACCGGACACTATTCGTAAGATACTTGTCGGCAACACAAATAAAATAGCATCATCTACATGCAAAAAATGGCTAAAATTAATGGAGGCCTTATTAATAAAAGAAAAAAAAAAGAGAAAAAAAAAACGCTTAATAATATCAACTATGAACATGGACACAATATCTTGACCGTTTTTTTGAAAATATATAAATACACACATGCAACAGACTATTTCTTATTTAACAGTTAAAATATTTCATCCTTGAAAATAGCTAAATGTATAGCCGAAAGCGCTCGGAAAAAAAAGAACATTCGGAGAGTTTTTATATAATTTATCATCTGGAAAGAAAAATAAATATTAGATCGCATAAGAAATTGTATAAAAAAACTAAATCAAAGCACCTTGTCTGACGTATTCAATGAAATGTGCATGAAAGAAGGATTGCTGCCTAAACACACACACACACACACACACACACACAGACACACACACACATATATATATATCTATATATATATATAACCTATCATTACTCTGAAAGTGTAGAATGATGTGCAAAATATCTGTAGTTTAAAGCATAAAATTACGCACAATATATATATATATATATATATATATATATATATATATATAAACCATATCATTACTCTGAAAGTGTAGAATTATTTACAAAATATCTGTGGTTTAAAGCATAAAATTACGTACAAAATACTTAAATTTTGTGATTAAATAACCCATAGAGATATTGATATCCCGCTAAACAACTCAACCAATCAAACAAAAAATGAAAGACCTCTTTCATGACGTTAGTCCATATAATATCCTACAATTTTGTAAAGAAATCAAACTGGATTCTAAAATATAACTTCAACATAAAATACACGGATCACCGCCTCTAGTAATTATGTCTTACACAAGCATGTATATATGCACAAAAGCTGAGTATCATCTACCATGTATTGAACTGTGAAAGCAGAATAACATATATCGTATTTTTATTACTTCAAAGCTCTCTAGAAAATTACATTTCGGCATTAAATGACCCATAAAGTTTTGATATGCCGTTAAACAAACAACTCAATCAACCAAAAACTTAAATGTCAATATGATGTCCTTCGGTCGGTAATAATAACCACATGATCAGGTTTCATTTTTTGAACGTTTTGGGGCGTAAAGTTCGTTCCATGATGTTGAACTCGTACATACAAACTATTACTAATGGAAATGGTAATATTAGCTATTTCCTTATAAGGAAACATTCTGAATCCAGTGACCGTGTAGCCAGCGCTACATTTTTTTTTAAAGCAATTCACCCCAAGCAAGATATGAGTGCCACTAGCACACAAGTGGTTTCAGAGAATTGAGATCAAGAGTAAGGAGGCGTGTTTGGGGTAAGGATACAGCGAAGGATGAGGAACAAGATCAAGGTATCAGAAGATATCAATTAACATTACATTTGATTATTTGAAGATTATAGATATCAGGGAAGCAAGTAAGCGGAAGGGAGTTACACTGTTGGGAAGTGCGAGAGAAGAAGCTTTTGAAGTAGAAGAGGCGGTTACATTTAACCGTTTCGACAGTGAAAGGACGAATGGTAGATTTGTAGATTTGAGGGATGGACCCAACCGAGAAAAAGCTTATGGCACGACACAGAGAACCAACTTTCCTTGCGGTAGATGAAGCTATTGATTCAATGTAGTTGTTCCACCTCATCTCAGCGGACAGCGTGAGACCAAGAGCGGACAGTGTGAGACTTGAGTTGCGCTTTTCTTCACTCCTTGGACAAAGTGTGGTATGTACTCTCGGGCGGACAAACTACATTTTATGTCTCAGTTGTGTTTTGTGTTCGGGCAGCAGACAAGTAAATAAAGGGTGCCTGGTCCCGGGGATTGCAACCCTACGGCAGCACCTCCCTCATTGCACCGAAGTGAGAGTGTCAGTGGAATATCGCTATCGGGTCGACGTTGGTTGTGGCAATTAGGCATTTTCCTGCCTAGGAGCATGTGCTTTGGACTCCCCACTTTTTAATGGCCTTGTGCCATATCTAGTCACCATGAGGACCGTATTTTCCTGCTTACAAGACGCTACGGCTTGGAAGACGCACACTAATATTGGAAAGAAATTTCTAAAAAGAAAAAAAAATCATTCTCAGAATACACATTCACCATGCTTCTCTTACAGACTGGCGCTACATATTGTTTATGTTAATCACTCGTCTGATTTTGTTTGTATGGCAATGACATACTAGTCAAGAGCAGAAAGGCTCCCACCACTAATAGACCAAGCATGTTTAAGCTTGTGGCTCGGCTCCAGGAAAGTTTATAATCTTGGAAATACTTGTAACAGTTAAGTACAGAGGTTACATCATATAAAAAAAGGCTTAATTAGATAGATAGCTAATATTATAGTGTAATGGCTCAACATACAAATCCACGCCCCTATCAATCAAGCCAATTAGGTGACCGTCTACTTGAGCCTGGGTGATGACTTTCATTCGTCTTGGAAGGCTCAGACGCATTTTCCAGGGTATTTTTAAGGGAAAAAGTTGCATCCTGTACACCGAAAAATACGGTAAATATGTGTAGTATCTGTTCTCACCATCTCTAATGGCGATGATAACACTAGCCGTTTCCTTATAAGGAAACGTTCATCATTGGTTGAACAAGCAGTATTGCTCGAGTTACGCTCTTTGTTCACTCGTCATTGAGCTGTGATCAAAGTGTAGTATCTGCACTTTACATTTTATCTCTCTCAAATGTGTCTCTGTCTTTGAACAGAGGCAATCATTTGTGCCTTTCTTTCTTTTGACAGGGCGCAATATTATTGAGATATTCCGGGTCTAAGGGAACAGCTACACGTGGTAGTACCTCTCGTATTTCACTAAAGAGGAGTGATCGATAGTAATAGCGATGCACACGTATGGACACAATCAATTGTGTTTCTGGCTTCGGACAGAACACAACAGGTAAATGAGGGATGCTTCATCCCGAGGATTCTAATACTGTGGCAGCACCTCCCTCGTTAAAGGTGGAATATTGAAGCTAGCGTAACGTTGGTTTCGGGGAAACATAAAACATTCACTGAATGAACAGGGAATGTTTCCTGAAAGTGTAAATTTCAGTTTTCCAAGAAAAAAAAATTGATGCTAGTTTGGTTTGAGATCTACGTAACATGAATCTATTTTGGTACGTGATCTACACGCCTTACTTCTATATAGCATTTATAGCCGTGTTCTTGCTGTTTATCGCTAGCATATTATTAATAGAAAAGATATTAATATTTATTTACATTTTCTTTGATTTATATTTATATATAAAGACATTTTTATGTTTAACATTCTTTTTATAGATACAAGTATTAAGTAACTGCTCTGTTTATAATAAACAGAATTAAATAAGATTTACCGGCCTCAATGTCCGAGAAATTTTCATAGAAAATATTCGTCCTTCGACAGGATTCGAACCTGTATCCTATACGAAACCGTCATATAGACTGACATGCCTTACCGCTCGGCCACAAAGGATCGTTCGACCAGCAAGGTTGAATTTACTGCTTATAAACTTCAGTTTTCCATGAATCTTTCATAATTGCTCATGGAGTATCAAATGTAAACAAATGACGTCACACATTATGAAATGGACAAAGTCCGGCAATTATTTAAAGACATTTTTATATTTAACATTCTTTTTAGAGATACAAGTATTTAAGTAAATCCTCTAAAAAAAAGGACGAATATTTTCTATGAAATTTCCCGGACATTCAGGCCGGTAAATGTTATTTAATACTGTTCATTATAAACAGAGCATTTACTTAAATACTTGTATCTATAAAATGAATGTTAAACATAAAAATGTCTTGAAATAATTATCGGACTTAGTTCATTTCATTTATATATATATATATATATATATATATATATATATAAATATATATAAATATATATATATATATATATATATATATATATATATATATATAGAAATAAAAATTTAAAAAAATTTAATTTGATATAATTTAATAAATTTTAATAAATTTAATAAACTTTAATAATTTAAATATTATTTAAATTTATTAAATTTATTTATTATAATTTATTAAATTTATTTAATTAAATTTATTAAATTTATTATTTATTAAATTTAAATTTAATAAACTTTAATAAATTTAATATAAAAAAAATATATATATATATATAAAAATATATATATATATATATATATATATATAAATATATATATATATATATAAAGTATGTTAAACATAAAAATGCCTTGAAATAATTGTCGGACTTTTGTCCATTTCATAATATATATATATATATATATATATATATATATATATATATATATATATATATATATATATATATACAAAAGAAAATGCCTACTATGAAGACACATGGTTTTCAGTTCTACACAGTGCTCGCTTGGTTTACTGTCTCGAGTTTTTTTCGAGCCTGTGTTCATAAAATTTCACCAGCCGAGCCCGTGTAGACAACAGGAGTATTTTATACGCTCCTTACGGTTGTTGGGTGGACTGAGAGTGTCTTTTTTTCCATTTTATATTCTTGTGGAATTTATTTTCCTTTTTTATTATTTACAATTAAAAAAATTATTTTATTTTAATGACGTTCCAACTTTCTCTGCTCTTTCGTTATTATGGCTGTGTCCTTCATAAACTTTAAAAACTGTTGGTTGAAAGGTTTCTTAGGGGTAAAATGACGTCCATTTTGTTCAAATCTGTGTTTTATCTCTGTGGGTATAAATCTCTTTTGTATATATATATATATATATATATATATATATATATATATATATATATATATATATATGTAAGCAAATATGTGGCTATCGATCCGACAGTATGAAGAAAAATATGCAAAAACAAAAATCCGAATATGCAAGTATGCTGTTTTAATGTTGTTTCAATGTCGACGTCAGACGTTTCGGTCTAGTAGACCTTCTTCAAGACATAGTTATTAAAGCATAATTAAAATTAGACGATATTCAAGTCAACATGAAAAAACGATAGACATAAGACTAATCAAAAACAGAATAACTGAAATTTTTAAGATCAGCGTTCCATTTCGTAATACGATCACGTCAGCGTCGCGTGGGCGATGTTGTGAAAACGTATTCGTAAGGGTGGACCTGTTTGACGTCCATTTTGTTCAAATCTGTGTTTTCTCTCTGTGGTTATAAATCTCTTTTTGTGTATATATATATATATATATATATATATATATATATATAGTGGGAAAATAAGTAATTCATCTGCTTATATTTTTCTGAGTCTGCCACCTTACAAAAATACGGACGGTCTATAATTTTCAGGGTAGATTCATCTTGAAAGGGAGAGATAGAATATAAAAACATTTCTAGAAAATCACGTTATATTAATTTTTGTACATTTATTTCTTTTTTATTGAAAAAAAAAGTATTTCATCCCATAGCAAAACATAACTCAGTATTTCATGAGGAAACCCTTGTTGGCAAGTATAGCGGCCAAACGTTTCCTGCAGTTGGTTATCAAGTTTTACAGATCCCAGGGGCGGATTTTGGTCCACTCTTCTTTGCTAAATCCTCTCCAAATCCTTAAGCTTCCTCCACAGATTCTCTAGAGGATTAAAGTCCGGAGACTGACCAGGCCACTCCATTACCTTCATGTGTTTCTTCTTGAGCCACTCCTTTGTTACCTTGTCCGTATGTTTAGGGTCATTGTTATGCTGGAACACCCATCGACGACCCATCTTCAGTGTCCTGACTGAGGCAAGGGTTTCACTCAACATTTCCCTGTACTTGGCCCCATCCGTCTTTCCCTCGACCCGGTGTGGTCGTTCTGTCTACTTAACAGGGAAACACCCCAAAGCATAATGTTTCCACTACAACGTACAATGGTTGGGATGGTGTTCTTGGAATTCAAGTCTTTTTTTTCCTTCAAACACGACGAGTCGAGTTGATGCCAAAAAGCTCAATTTTAGTCTCGTCTGACCACAGCACTTTCTCCCAGCCCTTTTCTGAATGATCCAGGTGTTAATTTGCAAGCTCCTGACGGGCCTGTATATCTGCCTTCTTGAGTAAGGGGACCTTGCGGGCACTACATGATTTCAGTCCGCTACAACGTAGTGTTTTTTCTTATGGTCGTTTTGGTGACTGTGGTTCTAGCTGCCTTGAGATCATCAAGAAACTCTTGCCGCGTAGTTCTGGGTTGTTTCCTCACCTTTTTTATCATCAGGTTCACTCCACGTTGAGAGATTTTGCATGGATCTCCAGACCATCAAGTCTCGGAGACTTGCCTCTGTCGACCTTCTTCAATGCCAAGTGAACTTTCCCCTCTGTGATCTCACCCTCGAATCTAGCCGCATCAATCGGCGGAAGCCGAAGAAAGTCAGCTAAATAGCTGCGAAACTCGTCACCACTGAGACCAGGCTCCTTGGTAAAATGGCTCTCGAAATGTCGCCGAAACGCCTCGCACATGTCTTTGGCCGCCTTCAGAGTACACCCCTCCAGGGTAATGACCACAGAATGTATCGATCGGAACCTGGGAGGATATCTTCCTGGTGCAATTCTCCGCCCATGTTTACAGCTTCGATAGACATCTTGTTTACCTTATGATTGACCTGACCCTGTTAGCGCTTGCTAGCCTCAAGATTCAGGGTCTGCCTAGCTATGGCTATTTCTAGTGAATCCCCCCGACACAGCCAGGGACAGACTATCCTCTTAAACATTTTAGCCTTATCTAGAGCGAGTCGTTGGCTATATTTATTGGTGGTAGGAACTAATCCTATCCTAAATATTCTCCCACCACCTACTCCCAATAACCACCCAACTAATTCCCGCTTCACTAATCGAGTCAGCTATTGCTGAAAGTTCCGCCGGTCCACTAAGGACAGATGGAACTTCCAGTGTCCAGCCATTCTAGGTTTACTGCCTAACACCATCCGGGCACAGATGAGTCTATGATCCGAATGGTCAAACCAGTGGAACGTGAGACAATCCAGTAAATCTAGGTCGACAGTTCTCACTAACATTCTGTCCAGATAGTTGGCTACCTGGAGATACGGCTACTTAAGGGCCCAAGTCCACATTTCCCCTCTTCGGACGATCAACCCGGTATCTACCGACGATCCCAAACCCGCCGATCAGATCAACCAAGCTTCCCCCCTCCTATCTATCTTGGGGTCCAGATCGGCATCCAGTCCCTCATTTATACTAAGCGCAACGAATCGACCAGGAACGGCTCCAACTGACGGAAAAAGTCGACACGCTCCCTATGGTCGTTGAGTGCATAAACCGAAACGACTCGAAACGAACCACTGCTCACGGCAATATCGGCCACGATTACCCGGCTCTGTGCGCTCACATGGACATGGTCTACCCTCGCATCCAGGGAACGCTTGACTAACAAGGAAACTCCTCTGGCCTGCCGGTCCTCGTATGCTGAATAGACGACAAAGTCGTTAGACAGCACACTAGCATCGACGTCACAAACAAACCCCTGGATCGCGGCCACATCCACACCAAACGACAAAAGATCACGAAGCAGGCTGACCGCCGTATTACACTCTCTCAAGCCGTTCACATTCAAGCTTGCTAGCTTAATAGACATCTTTTAAGTTTCGTAGTCCCTTAAACACAGACTGGATGAAAATCTGTGGGGGTCAAGACCTCGGTGGATTGTCCCAGACTACCAGCACCAACATTGGACGTAATTCGTTCTTCTGTGATAATACCAACGACGTCTGTGGGAAATGTAAAATTTAGGGGCTTCTATAGAGGGAGGTGGAGAAGAACAAGGACCCTCCCTGCGTAATATTGCGAAAAATCTTTAGTTTCCGAGGCACTTTCTGGATTATCCGGAGCTTTTTTGGATTCTGCCACGAAGTCCCAAAAATTAAGGTTTCCCCCGGTGTTCATAATCAGTGTAACAACATTGGTAGTGCCTGGAATGTTCCTTGGATCCTCTGTTGACGGGATATCAACAGAGGTACATTTGAAAAGGGGCCTCAGAAGGGCCTTCCTCTGGAAGGAAAGGTCCCTCTCGAGGAACTCACGGAACAGAACGCAGATCTCGTTCCGTCTAGGGAGTTGCATCTTCTTTTTCTTTCCTTGAGATTGGATGGGGGAGGGGGACGGGTAAGACAGGGTCCTAGATGGGATTGAGTGGTGGTTTCTTTGTCGTACCTGGCAGAGGATCTTTCTCACTTCTTGCTGGCGAAGTAGGCGCAGACTTGGCCTTCTCCATCCCACTCCGACCGGATCTCCTTTCCTTCTTGGTATTAACAAAGTCCACTTCCTCCTTCTCCTCCTCGTCTCTTACTCTCTTTAATTATGAGAAATGAGTCGGAGGCATTTCCTCCACCTACATATAGAGGTCCAGTTGAGGTAAATCCTCTACAACTTGCTGTTCCTATTGGACCTTTTTTTCCGGCTGCTGTTGATGGTGCATCAGTTGCTGTTTCTGCTGTCCCAGCTGCTGCTGCTACCGCTGCTGCTGCTGCTACCGCTGCTGCTGCTGCCGCTGCTGGTCGCGTTGCAGCTCTCGCAGATTCTGTCGTTACTGCCGCTGCTACTGCCTCTGCTGCTGCTGTTTCTCAGTTGGCTTAGCATCTCCTTTGGTGGGGACATCCGGTTTCTGTTGCTGTTTCACAGCACTGTTGTCTGGGACATCCTGCTGGGGAGGCGGTGTTCTTGCCTTCGCTCCTTTCCTCACCAGCTCAGTCCATTCATTATTAGCGACTTTCTTTGCTGCTTCCTCCTTGGGTTGCTCCGATTTTGTTTGCGGCGTTGGTTTTGTCTGTGGTGTTGGTTTCTTTGCTGAATACAACTTGGCGAGGTGTCCGGCCGCGCCACAAGCGCAACAGGAGGGGCGACGACCCTCAACAGCAATAAAAATGCTCCGGTCGCCGCAAGAGATAATGTTTGGTACCTCATTAAACTTTGTCCGGATCAATGGCACCAGGACCTCAGCAAGTATTCAGACATTTCTTAAACGACGGGCCCTGTTTTTTTTCTTTTGTCTTTATTAACGTTATCGATGAGTTATAAGGTGTTGACTGCTAGTATGGATGACCAGAATAGGCATAAATTTACGAAATCTATGTGAAGGCATTTTTAACTACCTAGTAATTTTTGCAAATTAACATATTTTCACCAATTATTTAATATTTTATTGACTATTAATTTTGAAAAATATAATGGAATTTAAAATAATATTAAATTTTCTTAAATTAATTGTAAAATTTAATAACTGAGATATTAATGAAATACCACAATAGAGGTAACTCAATAATGTATGAAATTTTATGGTATTTTATTTATTATTAATTTATATTTTTAATATCTTTTTTTTAATGTAAAAGTTGAGACGAAAACATGCAATGACTAAAGACTTGCAGACATGCTAATTTCTCCGCAAATGGAGGACAACTCTTATAACCTCTCATCTTTTAATAATAATATCATTTACAGACTTCCGTAGATGAAAAATGGGAATGTTTAAACTAACAAAAAAAAACAATTTAATTAAATAATGTCATAGTTTTATTAAATTTTTAGTTTACTCTTCGGAGCAGATTTTCGAGAAATGAGTAGCACTTTAAAAAAATGGATGATTTACATTCTCCAGGGAATCCGACTTTTAACTAGTAAAAAAAAAAATTGAAAGAAAATTTAAATCGCGAAATTTCATGAAATTAAGTGTGTGTGTGTGTGGAGCGGGGTAAAATAATTGTCTACATTTGTAAGTCCTGAAAGTTTCATTAAAATCCAACAATTATTTATTTTTTACAAGAATTTCTAAATCGATGTGTTTTTCACCGAAAAAAATGCAAAAAACACATATAGTAAAAATTCTGTCTACCGCTGACGTAAAAAGATAAATAAGATTTTTAATCAAAATTTCTATCTTGTTAGAAAGGTTTTTTGTTTTTTTAAATAATTAAAAAAAATCTTTAGTTGTTCCTCTTAATAATAATGGAAACATTTTGACGATTTATTAAGTTTTTCTGATCATTTTTCGTCATGCTATGCTCTTTTTTCAGCGAAAAAGGAGAAGTGCCTACTATATATCAGTTTAAAATGTCCATTGGAAGATTGCATCCCTGACAAAAAAAAAGCTAATGTTTATATTGGCCATTATACTATAACGTTATCAAGACGGCTCACTATACACACGAATGATGCACAACACCTGCAAAAACATTCCTGTCTGCATTCAAAACTTAGAAGTATATTAGTCGCCAATACCCGTATACTTTAGTAAGAACCTAATTAGCAGAGACTACAAATTCTGCAAACAATATTTTTGAAAGAAATAAAATCAACACTTAAAAAATTAATTAAGAATATAGTTCACATGTTCTGAATTACTTATA